CTTTTGTGTTATCTCCCCAGCCTCCACTTAAGTTAGCAGTCGGTAGCATTAGCAAAAAATAAAAATAATTGCCTCCTTTGGTTTGTCCAGATGAGATCCATCCTTGGGTGATGGCTGGCTTGTTCAGGATGTCTTTGCACTATTGACAGGAGGCAGCTGCTTGGCTCTTCTGCCTGCACTTGGCACCCTCTAAAAAAGCACATTTTTCTATTATTTGTTATGTAATATTTGTTCTCCATAAGCCAAAAATGCAAACACCTCTGTAATAGATGGGATTCATCTTTTATCCTCCTAATGCAGTGGTTCTCAACCTTTTTAATGCCGCGACCCCAACCGGTCGTAAGTCGAGGACTAAACCGGTCATAAGTCGAGGACTACCCAACCGGTCGTAAGTCGAGGACTTTCCCTGCCCGGGAGTGCCGCGCATGCGTGGTTCCGCCCCCTGCGCCGGCCGAGGCGTAGCTGGCAAGCGGCAGAGATGGAGCAGGCCGACCACCAGCTGGCCCAGCCCAAGGGAGGTAAGGCACCCGCTGGAAAAGGGGGAAAAAATGGCAGACAAAAAAAATGGCGGACAGCCTTGCTTGGCGACCCCCGTGAAATGGTCGATCGACCCCAAATGGGGTCCCGAACCACAGGTTGAGAACCACTGTCCTAATGGGCTTCCTCTCTTAGAATTAAACAAGGCAAGGAAAGCATACAGGTTATGGCTTCTCGAGTTTTGTCCAATCCCTTGACCAACAGTGGCTGTAAGAGGCATTTGTTCTTCCTTCTGGGTATCCTCTCTATGTGTGTTGAGAGTATGTCTACTCTCCCCTTATGCTGTGTTTGGGTGCATTACGAAGCATAAGGCTGCTTGCAAACCCTCTTCTCCAGGTCATGTGACCAGCTGGCAAGGGCCTAGAATGGCACAGTTGATAACATTCCAAACCAATGCCCAGTTGCCTCTCCCACAGATTTTTGGGATCTGGATTACAACTCTCAACCAGATCAGATCCTTTTTTTTTTTTTGGCTTCTTTCCACCACAACAAACCTGGTCTCATTCTACTCTAAAAAGGCTGTCATTATGATTTTGAGGGAAAGACCCATATCTTCTTCAGGTATTAAACTTTTTTACTTATTTTTATTCCTTCCCCCTGTCTCTTAGTCCATGTTCCTTTCATTCCTTTGACACTGCCTTCACTCTTTGTTGGCCCACTCCTGGTTAAAACATTCTGATTCTTTCCAGCCTGCATATAAAAAACAAACTCAAATTACCAAGAAAAACTCTTTAACTGCAGTTTGGTTGCTCTTGATAAAGTACACACAGGCACAGCAGCTGCCCTTGTACTGTATATTCTATAAAAGGGATGAGATGCCCTTGGCTGCTTTTAGCATATCCATTCCTTATAAATGCTGGACTGATGTATTGGTCACAGGCTAGTCCCTCTAATAATGATCAGAAAAAGGGCTCTGCACTTTAGGTCCTTAATTTGGGAACTGACTTTTATGAGCCTCCAGACATGTTTGCAACAGTTGTTCACCATAAAAGTCAGAGCCCTTTTTTGATCATTAGATCATTATGGGAACTGAAGTCTCTTGGAGGGCACCAGGATGAGAGAAGCAGGTCAGCATGCAAGACTAACCTGATTGAATATGTTTACATGGAAGGAACTATTGAATACTTGTAGTGAAAAGCCCTTAATATCAACTCAAGGACATTATTTTATCTTTTCATCTTTAGCAGATTTCCTGTGATCAAAAAATGAGGAAAAATGAGGAAAAACAAGGTTGCAAACACAAAAACTGAGATTGAGGATGCTTGCTTACCAATAAAACAATCACTCATAGAATTCCTTCATATAAATGTTAGTGAGAGTATGTTCTCAGTGTATACTGGGTGTGCAAAGGCTAATTGTGCACTTAGTTTATGCATATGTATTTCTCATATACACATATACACCGATACCGAGTTAAATTCTAGGATAACTGAATTTTTTTTTAGCTGGTATCAGCATCACTTTTAAAGAGATCTAATGAAGTGACCGACAATTGCTTAGTTTAGAGTACAATAAATGTGCTGATCTTTATGATATTAGAAGTAGTCTTTGATTTAGGACCATAATTTAATCTGCAATTTCAGTTGTAAGTGTTGATGGTTGTAAAGCCAGGTCGCCATGTGACAGCACTTTTTTTGTGGTGATTGTTAAGCGGTCACTGCAGTCATTAAGCAAGCCCATTGTTCACTATGGCCATTTTTTTTCTCGGAAACCAGAAGTAAATGACGATATCCGGCAAAAGCATTGTAAACACAATCACATGACCATGGGACACTGTAAACAATTGTTCGTCAGTTGCCAAGCACCCAAAATGCAGTCATGTACCACAGGGGGAGCCCAGATGTCAGATCTTCAAATACAGGTTGTAAGTAGCTTTTTCGGGATCTGTTGTAGCTTAAAATAGTCACTAAGCAACCTGTCATAAAATTGAGGGCTACCTGTACTAGGCTGTTGTTTAGTTTTGCTGCAGGAGTCCAACATGGCTGGTCTTCCTGAAATTTCAGAAGGAGGAAACACTCAGAGACAGGAAGGATGGTTTTATAGCTTAGGTGGTTCCTAAGGAAGTAAATTTCCTGTCAAGTACTAAGCTTTTCAGAAATATATGGCCTTGGTATTTGAACTTAGCCTAGATAAATAGTGAAGCTTTTGAGTACAGGAGAAGAGTATCCCTTAAAATCCCAGAGCAGTCTTTTGCCTTAGGCTTTTTTGTCTGGTTTCCTGTACGGCCTGCATCTGGATTTCTTCAGCAGTTCTTCCAGTTCTCTCATTCTAAAGCTTTTGAAACATTTTCAGCAGAAGTGCCATCTGGAACAAATTGCAGTGGAGTCAGCCAAGAAACAGGCAAGGCATAGGTAAATGTGGCTAGATTATCATGTTGAACAGTCACAACAGGGTTGCAAGGTAGGCTAGTAGCATTTTATCCTGGGGGCTGGAAGGAACATCCGAGGTCTTCTAGTCCAACCCCCTGCACAAGACAAGAGAACTTATTGCATACCAGACAAACGGTTGTCTGATCTTTTCTTGAAGACCTCCAGTGATACAGCACTAACAACTCCAGGAGGCATGCTATTCCACTGAGTAATTGTTCTTACTGTCAGGAAATTTCTCCTGACTTCCCGATTGGATCTCTCTTTAATGAGCTCCCACCCACTGCTTCTTGTCCTGTCTACAGGTGCTTCTGAAACTAAGTCAACCCCCTTTTGTCTGTGACAACACTTCAAGTACTAGATGACAGCTATCACATTACCCCTAATCTATTTCTTCATAAGGTTAGACATATCTAATTCCACAATTGTTCATCATATAGTTTAGTCCGCACACACACACCTTATCATCTTTGTTGCTCTTCTCTGCACTCTTTTTAGAGCCTCAGCATCTTTTTTGTATCATGGTGACCAGAATTGGATGCAGTATTCCCTGTGTGGCCTCACTAGTGAATTATAGAGTGGTACTATCACTTCTTGTGAACTTGATGCTATCCCTCTGTTGATGCAGCCTAGGACTGCATTGGCTTTTTTGGCTGCTGGCTCGTGTTTAAGTGTTGTCCACTAGAACACTAAGATCCCTCTCACAGTTACCACTGTTGAGCCAGATATTGCCTATTCTATATCTGTGCTTTTGTTTTTCCTGCCTAAGTGCAGGACCTTACCTTTCTCACCACTGAATTGCATTTTGTTGGATAGGACTCAAAAGTCAAGTCTGTTAAGATTTTGATTTTGGAACTACCTGCCATACCTGTCTGGTAAGGCTAGTAATGCCATGAGCCTGAACAAAGGACTTTCAGCACACAGCTTAGGTGTCTTGTTAGATGGTTGCTTCTTTATGATGTAGAGGCAGATTAAGAAAAGGCTTTAATTGGGAGTTCCCTTTCAGGAGCACCTTCTTGATGCTTGACATGCAGAAGTCTAGAAGACTCTTGTAGCTGTTTTGAGCCTTGCAGCCAAGATTGATGGGGGTGGGCTGACCTTCGATGGTCCATGTGGATGGCAAGGTATTGACTAAGGAGAAAATGGATGAGAAGGAAAAGCTGTTGTTGTTGCCGCTGCTGCTGGTTGGTTTGTTTTTGTGCACTGAGTCAGTGTTGACTACTGGCAACTGCCTGGACTAGTGCCTGCAATTTTCTAGGCAGGAAGCTGTTTGTCCTTGCCTCCTTCCTTGGGATGAGAGAGAGAGCAGCTAGCCCAAGATCACCCAATTGGTTTTCTGCTAAGGTAGCACTGAAATTCACAGTTTCTCAATTACTAGCTTGGTACCTTAATCATTACCCCACTCTCCCTTGGCAACTTTAAGATGTGTGGACTTCAACTCTCAGAATGCTGGCTGGGGAATTCTGGGAGTCAAATCTTAAAGTTGCCAAGGTTGAGAAACAGTGCACTACATAACATGGGCTCTCTAATATCTAGTTAGGAACTCTTTCATTCCTGTGTTTGCATGGGACTTCATTACATTCCTAGGTCCATTCCATTTCTAATCTTCCCCTAGCTTGAGCAGACCTTTGACACCGTGTTACTAACTTTTGGGGACTAAGATTTCCTGGGCCTGAGAGAGCAAAGTGCTAAGGCAGAGCCTATCTGCCTGTTTCTTGTCCTGTCTGATCTGAACTCCTTTCTTGAAGTGTGGATAAGAGAGGGGGGTTGTCGGAGACTACTCCTGTGTGCTTAGAAGAGTGATTGCCAGGTTCTGAACTTTTTAAGCTGATCTCCGTCAGCAGTGACAAGAGCTTTGGAGCAGAGCTCCCAGCTTTAGGTATCAGCTGTGATAAACTAGGCTCAGATCACCTAGTCCCTGGAGTGTGTAGGCATCTCTGCTCCTCTTAGGTTCAGGATTGCCGCTCTGTTGCTGATGGGGAAAATTCAGAGAGGGGCTTTTCAATGGATGTGCAGCCGAGAGCATCAGCAGTGGGTGTTTCCAGCATCCTTGAACGCTGCCGCCTGCTGCCTTTACAAGAAGGCAGCTCTCAGGCAATGGGGGTGGACAGGCGGCAGAGAGCCTCGGCAGCCCTCTCGCTCGGCTTCATCTCTTTAATCTTCTCTATCACAGCCTTCAGCAGCAGCTACTGGTGTGAAGGAACTCAGAAGGTAGCCAAACCGTTCTGCAGCAAACTCGCAGGTGGGACCCACTGCATTCAGATTAACAGCCCAGGTGGGAATGACAGCAGCGTGGTTCAGTACATCTGGGAGACAGGGGATGACAAGTTTGTGGATCGAAAGTTTCATGCCGGCATTTGGCATTCTTGTGAAGAGATGATCAGTGAAAATGGTGAGTGTCCTTCTGGGAAGCAAGTCTCCCTCATCCTGATTTTCTTCAAGACACAAGATAGTTGTGTCTCTTCTTTCACATTTTGGCTGGGGCTGGGTGAAAAACAGTGGCTGTGGTGCAATCAAGGTTACAACTGCGAGAAATAAGGATTCCCTGGAATGACGCATGACTCCTGTTAAATCCCTAGATAAGTCTCTGTAGCTCTGTGTGGCAATTTATGAAAGTAATTTGGTATTGCCCTCTTCTGGATTTATTTTTGGTTTATGATTTCTCAGTGGTCTCCCATCCAAGTAATAATTAGATTTGTTGCTGCTTGATTTTTCAGGATCAGCCAGTCAGCTTGCTGTTTCCACCTGGCAAAAGCAATGTTCAGATTTTAGCTGTTTCATTTGTGGGGGGGGGGGGGTTTGCCTTACTCTTCCATCTGTATAATGGAAGCATTTCTTTACATCTGATCTACATCCCATTTGTAAACAAGTTGTTAAATTACACACATCGTGTTAGTCTATAATGTGATTTGATTTGGCTTTGCATGTTACAGGACAAGATTTCTCAGTCATGATTTATGTGCTAACACATGTAAATGTAACCATGATGATTTGATCAATAAATTGTGGATAAAACAAACCGTGGCTTAGCGCATACCCAGCTAATTCCAAAACAATTTTCAAAGACTATGAAATGCTTTAAGGGAGGATACAATCTATTACCCGATGGCATCTGTTGCAAAGTTATTCCCCAAAGCTATGTTGATAATTATTTCTCACCCTTTTTGGCAACTCACAAATCAAAATTCTCTTGCTATTCTAATATGAGGTTGGAAGGGGAGAAAGGATTATAGGGATTAAAATGATTTCTCCCATATTATTCTGATTCAATACAAGAAGGGACATCATAGAATGCTATTTGGAAAGAAACGGGCCTGATGTGGCAGAAACTATACAGAGCCTTAAACTTCAGTCACAATAAATATTTAGACTTTAAAGGGCCATAAGACACTGTATTGTTTGCAAAGAATACAGCAGTATTAACACTGAAATGAATAGTATTTGGGTGGAAAAGAAGTAATTAGAACTCATAATGTTATCTCTTTCACCCAGTTTATAAAATAACTAGAAAAGTGTTTAAAAGAGTAATCTTTGATGAGGTAGGCAGACATCAAATCTATTTAATAAATAAATAAATAAAGTAAAAAAGTGGATAGAACATTTTTAACTTTGTTTACAATTTTAGGACACACAAACAAACACAGAAACACAGAGACAGACTTTTATGAAGAAGAAGAATTGGTACTAAATCTGTGGAATCCATAATTTGGAGGAACTTATATTTTAAAATACAGCATATGATTGAAAAAGATAAAACCTTGTTCCCTTTTTCTTATTCAGAAGTTTGGGGCCACCAGTAAAGGTGGATTCTGGGAGAATCAGGGTAATTGCCTTTTACTTATATTCGTAAATAAGAGGGAATTGTTGACATCATTCATCATATTTTAATGCATGAAGAATGTAATAGCTTTTATTAGGTATATGGATTCGTCAGACTCCTTTATTAGGTATATGGATTCTTTAGACTCTATACAATACATTTATCAAAATATTAGCAGACTGATTCAAATTATAACTGAGCAGAATAGGAAACCTGAGTTGGCAGCCAAGGACAGAATTAATGTTGCAGATCAAGTGTGGGATTGCCAAACCTTTATTTTCTCTCCAAACAGAAGCTGAGTGCAAGACATTAAACTGTAATGATCACTGGAAATTGCTACATAGCACCCTTTTAATTACCTGTAATTGTTTTTCCTGAGCAAGAATAAGTCAGTTTATGAGGACATGTGGGAGAATGAAGAGCACACATATAGATGAAAATTAGGTTTGGAGAAGTTTTCAGGCTGATTTTTCTTTGAAAACTGCTTTCAGCTCCCTCTCTTGCCATAGTTACTAATATAAGAGGTAGAAACATGTTTCCAAAAGTTTTAGAATTGTCATTTGCTGAAATGACCTATTCTTTCACTCATAAAGCATAGAATGGGAGTCACAAAATCTCTTACTCACCTCTAGTGTGATCATAGAATGGCAGTACTGAGATTCCTAAGGAAATGATGTTAAAACGCACTGAACGCCCCTCCTCAAGAAGCCTTCCCTGGACCCAGATGAGCTGGCCAACTTCCCTGGACCCAGATGAGCTGGCCAACTATCGTCCAGCCTCCAACCTTCGCTTTGCGGCGAAGGTTGTTGAGAGTGTGGTTGCACGGCAATTCCCTCGGCACCTGGATGAAGCAGTCTATCTAGACCCATACCAGTCGGGCTTCAGGCCGGGACACAGCACGGAAACGGCATTGGTCGCGTTGGTTAATGATCTCTGGAGGGCCCGGGACAGAGGCTATTCCTCTGTCCTTGTTCTT